CCAACTGGCCAAAAACTAAAGTTAATGTTTGCCAAAAATTAGAATGAATCTGTAGAATTCATATCCAAGCAGGGATCGGCTGTTTGAACAAGTAGAACATTTTAAATACTTAGGCAGCTCAATAAATCAAAACGGCAGATGAATTACGGAAATAAAATCTAATATTGCACAGGTAACGTCAGCGATTATGAATAAAAGAAAATTTTTATTCTCCTATAGCATAAGTATTAAGATGAAGAAACCCTTCATAAAAATATATGTATAGAGTGTGACGCTATATGGCTGCGAAACCTGATTACTTAATAAAGCAGAACAACGAATTCTAAAAAGCTTTGAAAATGTGATGTTGGAGAAGGATGGTGCGAGTGAGTTGGATAGGAAACCGTATCAACGAAAGCATACTCAGTGATATAGATGAACGCAGAAAGATACTCAAAACCATCAAGGCAAGACGATAGAATATGATTGGTCTCATATTATGGCACGAAAATTAAGTAATTTATAAAATAATAGACGGAAAAATTGAAGGTAAGAGAGACTGAGGACGTTTAAGAACTTCATTTGTCAAATAAATGATTTCAGATGATATACTATCAATACATAATCTATCTATACATTGAACTGAAGAGACTAACTGGAAAAAGGGTAGAATGAAGAGCGCATATCTGACTGTAAAACTACATACAAATGTTACACAGTTACATACAAATGTTAATAAAATATTTTATTATTGTTTAAGTTTAATTTGAAATTTTAGATTAAGAAAAAAAGAAATATTTACATTAAAATAATATACATGAATAAGTAATAAAATAAATTGTTTCTCTGGATATTACAAGTTTTAACATACGCCTGTATACATATTACATTTCTAAATACATTAAATTATATTAAAATAAGCAACATATTATTGGTATTTACAGGACACGAAAAACAGGTTATAATAATTTAAATAAGAAATCGTTATATAACGTAAACGATATATAGGTTTTGCGGGAACAAACTATTAATCATTAAAGCAGGTGTGTTACAACAGCATTAAGACCTATTTGATTATAAACAATACATAGAATATACTTTTATTAGGCCTAAGAAATAATAATTGAGATACATACTCGATTAATGGAAAATGAGATGAAAACTTTAAATAACAATAATTTAAACTATATTTGAATTATTATAGAATATAATTTAATATTCAAAAATTACAATCTTAAAAAAATTGAACTCTAATTCATCTTTATTTTATAACTATAAATGTATCAAATGCATTAAATTTAATAATATAAATAATATGATAATCCGTTATATTACCAATGATGAAATTTAACTTTTATTCAATTTGTAAATTTCGGAAAATTAATATCTATTATATAATTAATTTTATTGAATAGACACTTCAGACTTATCATGTATACAACTCTGAAAAGCAATTTATTTCTTTGAACACGAAGATTTTACAATGATACAAAAAGGTACTTATTATAACATGTACAATTTTTTTTTTTTTTTGATATTCGTGTACCTGATATTAAGTATACCATAAGTACATTATTCGAATATACGTTAGGCATCATATTCAATACATGGTGGGTAAAAGATACAGTATATTTGCTATAATAAAAGACACTCCAACCTATCTCCTAAGATACGTTGAAAAATCTTAAATAAAATGTCTAAGAATTACATAATCAGGTACCAAACAAATATTAAAAATGTAACAATTATATAACTATTAACTATAGAACTTTATTTTTATAATATTATAATATATCACATTCTTTTATGCACTTAATATATTCTAATTTTAAAGATACATGCTGTATGTATGTACATGTTCTTTAAATTTAAGGAAATAACAAAAAAAATTCAAATGCGTAATTAATAAAAAAAAAGTTATAAAAATAATAGATGCCTATCGAACGATGGATAAAAATTAGTTTTATGCATAATTTTAGAATATTTTAACTATGGTGTAAGCAAAGAAAAGCAAAACCAAACGGAAATCATTTTCAGTTATTTGATTTGATTTGATTTTTTGCTAATTTTATTGCTCAAATCTACAGTCTACATTAAATCATCCTCGCTATTCACATACTAAATACGAATATACGAGTACTATTTATTTTATTATAGCATTTGCTTTTATTTTCTGTTTACATTTTATGGAATACTTAATTTAATTTCCGCATACTTTTAGTTTATGTCCTAATAAAAGTATTAAATACAAAACAATATAATTTAAAAACATTTTATAATTTTTTTGTAACTGTATAAAGAGAATTCACTTTATAAATTACAATAGTTTGATGTAGAATTTAGTCATAAGTGTTTTATTAATTTTTTAGTGACCTGTTATACGCAGAACAGACGTTTAAACCTAATATTATAAAACGAAGAAAAAATTAATATTTGTTTGTGTAATTAAACACATTGTATTTAGATAAAGAATTTTAACCACAGAATTCATTGTAAATTTGGTTCAAGTAAAATGTATACATTGAAAAACGAGAAGGTTGTGAACAATTATAACAAGTTTAGGCTAATATAAAGCAAATAACAACCAGAAGAAACTTCATATTTTTAACAAGAACAAAATCTTATGTAAAACCAGAAAAAATAACATATTTATTCGCCTGCTCTCAATTATTATTAAAATATTTTCCCATCAATACCAGATCCATAAATTTCCACGGCATTTTGTATATTGCACGTTTAATCTTAAAGAAATACTTACTCAAAATGAACCAGCCTGGAATGTACGATGAACATTTGTAAAAACAAATAATCGAAATATATATAAATATATGTTACGGACAATATGGATAATTCAGGTATTTTGCAAAATGCTAATTTTTTTTTAGGCAAAGTACAAAACATTTTATTATATGTTATATAGTAAATTATATTATTACTTATATTACAGACAAAATTTAATTTTTATCAATTATTATATTTTTACTATTATATAAATATTTTACTTAAACTAATATTTACTTATTATAACATGTTGTAGAAAAGTGACATTTTAAAGTACACAACATTTTATTTTTAAAGCAAATACACTTTTTTTTGACACTTGGATTTACAAACACATTTTAAAAACCATTGGTTAATTCTTGTGGATTGCATTTTTATCAACTCATTATAATGTTCATCAGATAAAACACTATTTTTAAAAAAAAATTTGTAGTTTGTTATAAAAATTTGATTTCATATAAATCGTAAATCATATAAACCTAACCTAACCATAACGAGACACGAAAAATGTCGATATTGTAATAAAATTATTAGTACGTTCAATATTGTACCTTAGATTTATTATTATAGTAGTAAAATAATCTTAATCTTTATTGCGTTAAATCGTGCACGCACATTTAAGATAAACGGTAAATGAAGTCGTTGGTAATAGGCGATGACAAATTTTGTTTATTTTCATCATATTGCCTACTCCACGTTTGGCAATATACATAACATCTAGGCAAAACTCGCATGTATATTGCCGAGTGATTTTTGGCATTTTATATAATGCCTAGACATTTTGCAAAATACCGGATTATCCATATTGCCGGTAACATATATAGTATAATTATACTTATTTAAATTTTATTATCAAAGTTTTAATCGATTCAAAAGCTAAGATGTATCTACTAAACAATTTAACTTATAAAATAACAGCTTAAATTAAAATTTACAACAAACATGGGCATTTAATCGAAAATTATAACATAAATAGGTTAATACTATCGTAAATCAATTCGTTATGCATTAAAATCGTCTATGATAACTAAAATTATACGATTGAACTTGCGGAAACAATGAACGATGTTTTATTGGTTTTTAAGCATGAGTCATTGCTTTAATATTATCAACTATAAAATAATATTAAACAATAGACTGAAAATCATCCTGTATTTGAAAATAAAATGTATTATTATTTTTTAAATTAAATTGGATATTGAAAAATAATAAGTTAGGTTAGGAATGGTCCATCCAAACTAAGATTAATATATTTCCAGGGCATAATCATATGAGAAACACTAATTTGATAATAACAATTATTTATTGAAAATTTTGATAATTGCAAATCAGGTAAGAATAATAATTGTACTTAAATAACTATTTTATAATTTATATTGTAAAAGTAACAGCTCCATGAAGGGTTTCAGCGATCGCAAACCTCTAAATCAGCGATTCCCAAACTTTTTCAACCATGGAGCCTTTTTCCAAGCAGTATTTTAATGTGGAGCCCCAAGAAATATTTAGTATTAAGTTTTATTTTCCTATATTCTACGAAGCGTAAAAGCATTATTAAGCATAATTGAATCGCTTATTACAGAAACCCCGTAAGAGACAAAAATTTCGAAACATATTATTTTCCACTTGCTTATATCTTTTTAGTAGACACATCGATTTTTGCAGAAGCCCCATCTTATTTACGTGGCCAATTCGCGTCTTTGAAATTTTTGTTTGGAGCAGAAACCCCTAAGTAATGTCATGTAATACAAAAAATACAAACAAGTGAAAAATATGTTTCGAAATTTCTGTCTCTTACGGAGTTTCTGTAATAAGCGATTCAATTCAACATGATATGTATTTATATAGGAAAAAACTCAAAACGAAATAGTGTACATTTAATATTATATTTATATAAAATATATCTGACCGTGAAATAACTGGAATGGAAATGCGTATTATTTAAAATTAAAAAATAATATTTTTCTATTGGGATTTTAATATAGTTTTGTACGAATCGGTGAATTATATTTGAGTTGACGGAGTCTTGTACAAATATATACGCTCGTTGTTTTAGATATCGATTAATAATTGTTACATTTTTACATTTTTTATGGTAAAACGATAAAACGGTTTATGGTAAAACTTTGACAATTATTTTGTTGTAACTATCAACTAACTGAAATTGATATAACTGAAGTAATAATTATTGTTTTAACAATACTAATTTTTTTATATGTCACTTAAGTTGAAATACAACATACCTTGTGATGAAGACCGTGAATGCCAAAATGTAATGTGATAAGTAGGGGCGAGTTGTCTGGAGGCTGCAGATGAAACAACCAACGATGAATAGTGTACTCAATAAGAGGCCACAAAAATAAACCCAAGACGGTTGAACATACAACCCATGTTCCTATCGAAAAATTATCTAAACAAAAAAATAAAACATAATTGTTGTTATTATATTATATTCAACAAATCAAATATAAACTTCAATATTAATATTATACAGTAATAATAATTTAAAATTACAATAAGATAATTAAAATAGTAATATGTAATATTTTGTGAAATCGCAATTATGGAGAGATTAATAGAAATAATGGTAAAAATCCATTAAATAAATAAATATTTGACACTTAAAATAAAAATAATAAAATTACAATAAATTCAATAACTAATTTATAATTAATACAACCGTTTTAATAAATATATACCAATATATCATATTAAAACATACTATTTAAGATGATATATTATAATATTGATATACCCGAATATTATATAGCACAAACTCATAAGATATTATGACTCTCGGATGTCTAATCTCGAAAGAAATATCTAAAGTTTTAATAAAAAAAGTTTAATAAACATTTGATTACGTTCGTTTTTCAAACCAAGGATCCATGTAAGCATGTGCAATATTCAATTTGATATTTTTTAAATACAACACGGAACTGTCTTTAACATACCAATAGATAAAAATTATTTATGTTCCTACTAACTAACCAGTTGCGCCCAAAATTATTTTGGTAAAAAGCAATATCAATAAATAAATAGAAACATAAGTTATGTATTAACGTTGAATTGTTAACATTTATAGTTATATGTTGGAATATTATTCTTATTATCAAAGTGATTAAACATTCAAAACTAATTCATATTAATTGATACTTGTTT